ATACACAAAGAACATATTTACAAAGCCAAACTTGAAGAAAGGCAACACGCTCAGCGTGGTTAGGTTGAGCACTAGAATTGTTTTAAATTTCTTGCATATCCGAATAAGAATCAGTGTATCTCTTGTCAAAATTTGGGGCAACAGCAGTAACCAAAATGGCAGGAAAAATGGTCTCGCCCAGGAGCGGAAGATCAACTAAGGCTCCAACATTCCTCAGAGTAATGGACATTAGGTCAAGTGGGAAGATAAATGTATTATATTCAGAAGACCAAAAACTCAAAGCAATAGGGAAAAGTACAGGATCATAGATTGGGGGACGGGGAGCGATTTGTAATAAATCAGAAATCCTAGCACGGTCAAAAATTGCCTTGGTATGGCCATGACTTGTCATACGTGCATGCCAAAGGCGGAAAGTAGTATCAGTTTTGGGCCAAGTGCAAATACCTTTTTCATGAATTGGCTTTAGCGGAAAAGGGTTCAGAAAATGAGGATCTTAAGTGCAAGGGAACAATTGGTCCACCGTGCTTGCCCAACAGATGCAGCCTCATCAAATAATAGGCCCAGGTAGAACTCGTTGAGATCAGGATTGGCTGGTGAAAGGGAAGCTGGATTTATATACGGTTTGGTGAGAAGCTTTTGGAAGTCTTCAAAGGTAAGGGAGTTGTCGAAGAGCTCTTTGAAGTCGCCATTTACTGCAAATTATAATCATTTCGAGGGTTTTGGGAGAGAAGCAAAAAGATGAACAGTGATCTTTATAGGTAAAAGGAAAAGCGGCGACGCAGAACGTGGGTATAATAGTGCGATGAAGTAGCGTATTCTTTGGTTTATAGGAGTTGTGTGATATTGTACTTTTCGAGATGTAGAAGGTCACTGCCAAACAATATAATGATTGGGTTTTTCTGCCCTTTTTTGGATTTCAAGCATCGTGGGAAAATATAAAGGATGAATATGGCATAAAATTAATAATTGATATTAATTTTGCCATATTTGTAGGTAATTGTTGACATACAAAAATGAGGCTCAATTAAATGGTCCAAAGAATAAATTCCAGTTATGAAATTCTAAAGATGGGCCTAAACGAGACCATGTAAAAACCCATGACAAAATTATGTAGCGGAGGCCCATCATCGCTCAAGTCGGGGAGACGCCCAAAATCTGAGTGAGTATAGTGTCTTGATTGTTATTTAAAGCAACGGTTATTAAATTAGTTAATGGACAATCTTGTCACATTCCACGATCCAAGAATCTCGATTGCAAGTAGTTAAATGATATGAGTAATGGCAGCAGTTGAAAACAGTAGTTTCTTGACAAGTCATCCATTATGGAGAAAGTGGGTAATTACAGGGTGATGAGCAGTTTTCAAACGGTTCTACAAGAAAAAAGCTGTCAAATGAGTATAAAAGAGAAAAGAGAACATGGAAGAGGAACGAATCAAATGACTCTCAAATATAGAATTATGTAATTTCATTTCTTTTTACTTGTTAAACTTTCAATTACTTTGTGAATTCAATGTGCTTGTGTCCCTTGGGGGCATTTCGCTTCTTACAAGTTATAATCTTCATAAATAATTAATAAAGCACCCATCGTTGGGACTTT